TGCTAAGTTATTCCATTTTAGCAAAGTTCTTTTGCTTCTGCAAAGTTTTTACAATTTCTGCAACTTTTCAGCTTTTTCAGCTACTTTTTGCATACAGCTTCAGCTTTAAGCATCCACACTGCATTTTCGCAGGAAATGCAAATTTTTCTAGTTATGAATGAGGTTCAGTATTTGAAGTTGGCTAAATGCTTCGAATGTCTGCTGCAGTTCAAATTCAGTAATTGCCAAAGTTTTGGACTGCTAGACTGGCCCGATTTAAATCTTCTGCTGCTGCTAACCATTTTATAAATGAACCAGACTGCACTCAAGTTTGAAAATAGAATAAGTGGATGAGAGTTAGATAGTATAATATGTTTCACTGCCTGTTGTGATGCATGGACAATTTTAAAGTTCAGGGTTTTGTTTTGTTTTTTTTGGTTCTTTCATAATATAAGTACATTTTGTTCTTTTAATCCTTTAATGAGGACCTATTGTGCTTTCTCTGTTGTCTCATGGTCAGTGTACATGAGACTTAAAAGGTGGATGCTCCTGTAAAACGTGGCCAAATGAAATAACGTTTAAATGATGAGATCAGTGGGTGTGTAAGCACTAACTCTGATCATGGTCAGTGAGAAATACACTGCATTTATTCAGCACCTTAATAGCCTTGATGTCCATTCCCACCGATGGATTGTTTTTTTCTACACTTGACCAAAAGCTACCGGTGCCAAAACAAAACACGTCAATATTTTGCTGCAAGATCAGATATGTATTTGCCATAACTGTCAAACTGCTGTGATGTTCCCAATCACTGTGAGACATAGTACCGCAAAATGTTCACAGCATTATAGATGTCAACATCTCTTCTTCTATTTATAGCCTCCACACAGATGTATCTATTTATATTACACCTAAGCCAACAGGAATCAATTGCACTGCAGGGTTGCAAATGAGAAGATGAAGACCGATGCAACAACTCATATAGGTCTTTGTGCAGCTCAGTGTGTAATCATGTGAATGTGTCTTTTCTATAGGCTTTGGTTTTTCTTTTTTTTCTTTTGTATTTGTGGGATCCTGAAACCCCACAAACACATGGAGCCTCCATACTGGTTGAGTCCGATGGTTTTGTAGAGATCTACAACTTTAAACGCTGTTTGAGATTTAAGGATAATAACTGGATTTTAGGTTGGGTAAGGGTCAGGCAGGTTAGGCATTCACATGTCACAGTTAGCACTGGGTGCCCACAAAAACTCTAAAAACAAAGTAAATGCTGAGCTTTACAGTAACATACCATGCAGAGATGTGGTGTAGAAAACCGTAGAATACATGAGACACAAAAGGTGGATGCTCCCGTAAAACGTGGCCAACTGAAACAAGGTTCAAATGATGAGATCAGTGGGTGTGTAAGCACTAACTCTGGGTGCAGTGCTCAGGCTGTAAGAGATTTATTCTACTCTGTAGTCTGTGTGATGCCAAAGAAATTGGTAACGGAACTAATGTGCTCCACTAAGGCCCAGTTTTGGATAAATAACTACTAATTTAAACTATGAAAAGCTACCCTGAAAAAGAAAGTCCAAGAATAAGTATATGGAGTTAGAAGATGAGCAGAAAAGGTCCCCCTTTAAAAGAATAGTTTTTAAAATGTTAGTACATCTTCACACAGGGGTGTCAAACACAAAAAACTTCAGTCTCATCCATGGGACAGCTTTGGAAAGTTGGAAGAAGGGCTTAAACCTTCATCTGCAGAACAGCTGCAATCAAAACCAAAGCATTCCTGCAACACCATTATGCTATTGTAAATATTAACCTGACACATTTCTGTATCACTGTGTCTACATTTAGGCATTAAAACTATATATTGCAACATTGCACCAAATCCATTTTAAAATGCTGTATAGCTGAAGTCGCTGTTAATCCTATAATTACAAAACTAAATAAATATTTCTTACATTTTGACATTTTACTGCTTCTAAAATATAGTTTGAGGAACATGAATACCCCCCCCCCCAACCCCGAATTTCTAATACATCCCTGATATGATCCACATGCATCACCCTCCTTTTCGTACATGCAATGAGAATGCTTGGTGAGGAGATGATGTTGTTAATTGATATGCAGATTTATTCGTTATTTGCATATCAGTCAGTTTGGCGGTACTGAGGTGATGAGGGAGTGAAAACAATGAGATAAATAAAACATCGGGGACCGGCAGTAAAGAAACAAAAGTATTAAAGCTTTAGTGAGAAACAAGAGCAAAGACAGAGAGAGAGGGGGGAAAGGTTAACAGCACACCTGCTGTTCAGGGGTGTTACCAGTAATTTAGCTAAGGTAAGTGATGTCATTTCCACACCTTTATTTTCTGCGTTCCAGTTTCAGCTCAGTTGAGCTTTGTTTTCACTGCTTGTAATAATTGGAGGGTAAAAGAACTGAAAGAAAAAATATATATATTGAAAATAATTTAATAGTTTTCACTTTAAACTGGTCACTGTGAAACAGAACCATAATGATTGTGTCTGTATGTGGACAGGAGCTGCTGGAAGATGGACTGGTTCATTCCAGTCTAGACTGCTTTGGTGTGGGAGTGTCTTTGCCATATGGCCTGCTCTGGCACTCACGCGCTGTACTCTTCACTTGGCTGAACATTAAACAGCGATCGCTCACTTTCTGTTTACAGACTGTGCTACAACCATCACCCAGCAACACATTTAATGCTTTATTGTCTTTAAAAACAACGTACCTACACTTTTCCCATTCAGCTAGTAACAGAACATCTCAGCACTTTACATCATGTCATATTTCTTTTTACATTTTAGATGATACCTAACTGATAGCCATTGTTTGATCGTAGCTTTGCATGATTACACTGCTAAAGAGATGATAAATAACCAGCTACATACTGAAGCAGTAAACATGGAGCTGAAGCAAGAGGATGTATTCAGCATTTCAAGGGAGTGGAGCCTTTTATACATATTACAACTGAAAGCAGTGAGAGAGAAAGTGTAAAGATAAAATCTGCTCTTAGCTGCTATCATAGGCCCATCTTAATAGCCTCATGCCTGCAAATGTTGTTCTTTTTTTTAAAGAAATGTTTTTCTGCTAAAACTGACTTTAAAATATTGTTTCTTTGTTTTAATCTACCAACTGTAGATGTGTGACAATGACAGTTGTTTTTTTGGCATATGGGATGATGTTGTTGTCACTGTTACAATAATGCAAGTTTAATTAGCTTTATTGTCACAGTAACAGGATGATGCTGCACCTGGTTGTCAGGTTTAGTGGAAAGCACCCTTGTCTTTGATATTGAAGGAATGTGATGGCAACAGCGTTGCTAATGAAGATTTAGCTGCAACTCCTGGTGTTTCTTTTTGCACTGAATTAAATCACAACAAAACAATAAATCAAATGGCCAGTGCTTAGCATTGGTGGAGAAGTTGGGACTGATGAGGGAATCTGATCTAGTTACCTCAGCTGCTGATATAAATGAGCAAGTAGGTCTCCCAGACAAATTTCCAAACTTGAAGCCAGATGATCTTAAAAAAGTATCTGGGAAAAACGCTGGCTTTCCAAAAGCTGAAGGAATGGCTGAAAATCTCTTAAAAATAATCATTCACCTGAAAAAGACACACCTCACTTATCCACACAGTGGCAGCGAAAACATAGTGGCTTTCATTGAATGATAATAATTAGTAGTATAAGTATTTTTACTGGTACTTCTTTCATCTCTGCATCAATATGAGGAGCTTTTATTCTTCTTTAGTAAAGTGAGTCTTTGGGGAATACCTTTGGATAGTTTAGACAGCTGAAGTTAGACGTCAGTTTAAAATTGCAGTATTAAACTGTAATTTTACACATCCTTTGTCTTTTACACTGAATAATGATTCTGTATAATTTAGCAGCAGGCAGTGTGGTTTCCCCATCATCAGTTAGTACACTTTACAAGCCTGTTACACTTTATGATAAAAATAAATCCTGTTTGATGTCATTCATTGCTCTTTGTTACTGGCCAATTCCTTTTTGTTAGTGAGATGATTTAGCTGAAGTGACCTTTTGTCTGCGGGCTGCACAATCTGTCATCAAGATCCGATCAGCTTTGCGCTGTTTCTTTCGACACAGTTTTCCTGCTTTTGTTTCTCTGTGGGCTTCTAAAGCTTAGCCTTTCTTTAGAAAGGTCAGCAAAGCCCAGCTGGTGCTCGGCGTATGCGTGTGTATGTGCACAGAACTCTTGCGCCTTCGTGCAGTAAATCGTGCAGTGGTTTTATTAGCTGCTCACCTCTGCGAGTCTTGAATCCATCATACACACACATTAACATTCAGACAGGCACTGCCTTGCTTCGGGGGATTGTTGAGATGATGTCATGGCTGAAACCTGACGAGATCTCAGCACATTTAATTCATTAGGACAGTGGTAAAACCTAAACATGGGACCAATAAAACTAATGAGGAATTCTGTCTTTGTCTCCACAGGGGCCATCAGACGTGAGCAGTTGCAGCACAACAGTGAGTCAGAAGTTTATCTTTCCTGTCTTTTCGTCTTGGTTTTGCAGGTGTATGATGAATAGACCCTGTCCAATCACTTTGACATGCCATATTTTCTTTCTTTCTGTTTGTTTCCACAAACAAATGGCTAAAGAGTTGATGCAGAACCAGCCGGATTTTTCGTCACGTCAAGCTGTGTTGATAATGTGTTTTGGAAAACTGTCCCTCAGGTGGTGATCCAGACAAATCTCTGCAGCTGCTCTTTGTTACTGTGCAGCTAAGGTCACTTTCACATTTTACGTGCCTTAGATTATTCTCAAGTTTAGTTTGGTTTAAATTACAAAAAAACTGCTTTATCACATATTAGGATGCACAGTTTGTTGTGCATGCATGCTGATTTATTGTTGATGGAATCCACTGCAGTCATCTTGTAAATCTGCATAACGTCACTGTGAACTACAACACAGGTCTCTTGTTCTTACTGCCATTAATGGACAAGGCAAGAAGGTGCGCTAAACATTCCTCAGAGAGTTATAAATGGTCCACATTGACATGCTCGTCCATGATGTAAATCTCCCATTCCAAAGATGCTCTATTGGATTGAGATCTGTTGACTGTGGAGGCCATTCAAGTGCAGGGATAATCTGAGCTTTGTGGCACATTGACAGACGATAGGTAGACCGTGGTCATATAGGGATGGACATGGTCAGCAATAATACTCGTACACTGTGGTGTTTAAACAATGCTCAGTTAGTACTGAGGGTACTAAAGTGTACCAAGAAAATACCCACACCATTACATCAGCAGCACCAGCCTGCATGGATCCATGCTTTGATCGTGTTTACCACAAATTCTGACCTGAATGTTGCAACAGAAATCAGGATTCATCAGACCAGGCAAGATCTTTTTCTGATCTTCTGATATCTCAGCTTACAGGAGTGGCACCTGGGGTGATCTTCTACTGCTGTAGCCCATCTGGTTCTGTGTGTGTTGCTTGTTCAGAGATGCTCTTGTGCATACTTCGACACCATTAGAGGTGTTGTGTGGGAAAATCCCAGTAGATCAGCAGGTTCTAAAATACTCAGATGAGTACTGGAAATGAAACAGCTGACTTTAAATGTGGGCTGGCACTCTAATCACTTTTCTTCCCCTTTTTGATTCTTGGTTTAAGCCTCAGCATATCCTCATGCCTAAATGTATTAAATTGCTTTCATGTGATTGGCTGATCTGAGATCTGCGATAATGAGTATTTGAAGATGACCTTAGTAGTGTAAATGAAAGCTTCCTCACTTTTTGGTTCTCTGTAGTCTGGATTTGAATGCCTAGTAGTTAAATTTTCAAGTCTATGAGATTTGTGGCATGAGGCAACTCTTTTCCTTATTTTGTATTGAATTTGGATCCCTGGACACAGACAACTTTTTATGAGCAGGATTGTGTTCGGTTAACAAAAAACAACAGTGCAGGACGACAGAAGCTAAGATAATAACTGTTTTTATTTGATGCCCTTTAATGAATTGCTGAAATATCGGTATAGTGTTTAGCTTAATTTAGTTAGTCCCTGGATTTGCTGTGACTGAAGTGTAAGATAAGACTCCAGATAACCTTTGTTGGTCATTTTGCCCTGTGTGCTGAATAATGCCTCTACTTTCTGAGTATTTCATGAGTATCTGATCAGTGCAGCACTGGTCACAGTTGTTTTCTATTTTTATTGATTAACTTAGCTAACTTCTTAGTCAATATTGCAGTAAAATTCAAAGTCCTGTCCTTTTCTGGACGCAAAGTGGAATTTTTCAGCACAGATTGTAAATGGTATGAATTTAAACTGTCAGCCTTAGTTTCAGTTACAATATTTCTTTCTGAATTCATACACTCAAAAAAATGAATCAGGTGGATTGTTCAGTGTATATTAATTATTTATTTTCATTTTACTTAAAATATATGTTTTTGTTAAGTTAACATATGTTTTTCTAATCAAGTCTACGTAATTGTGTCTATTATTCAACGTACATAATACTAATGTGTTACTTGATCGCATA